AAAATAGTACTACCAACCAAAAAAAAAAGATTTTCTACTTTTACGGAGTCTTACAAAAAGTTCGGTAGGATCAATAGATTTTGTTCTAAATTGTTATATTCTTACCACCCAAATCTACGAGGTGATGTGACATGAGGTGAGATGATACTCGTGTATTGTAACCATTGCTATTTGATGGATTCAGGCGTTTAGCGATTCTCAAAACATATCTAAATCAATATCTTAATTTATTTTTGGAGTAACACTGACACGGTGATAACAGTTGAGGGTCACTTTGGTAGAAAATGGTAACACCCTATGTAGTGTATGCCCTGCATATAACCTGCTATCCCGTGCTCATGCCTATGTTATGCATACTCGATTATGGGTATTAAAGTTATCCCATTTTTTTTAACAATTTGTTATCACACATTAATATGCTGTAATTATATATGATTGGTAGGAAATTAATTTTTCATAAATTTAGGTAGTTTTTTAGTTTAAACAAAGAACCTGCAGTGACCATTTCAAATATAATACAATACAATAATTAATTATTTTTTAAAAAACAACAAAATATGTCTCACGGCGTTAGATCTGATTTTTTTTACCAATAGTAATATTATTGTGCTTTAATAATATTTTGTATCAATACCAATACCCAATCGGAAAATTATGACTTACGCCGACACTCACGAAGGGCGCAGTACTGTGACTGTACTGGAAGCCAACAGTTGGCTGGCCCTTACGGGTACAGTACTGGCCATAATTTTATCCAGTACTACACCAGTACTGGAAAACCAGCACTGGTAGTTTAGTGCTGATCTAGTACTGGCATTTTACGGGCTCTGTTTCAATGGCGAGCAAGGGCCAGCCAGTGTTTGTCATAGTTGTGTCTATAACTATTTTTGTATATAGTTGACCCATCCTAGTCCGCAACTCGTTTTACGGTTTTGGCGGCGACGATGTCACGGTTGGTGTCGGTCAATGGTTTCGACTTTGGAAATATAGCTACTCGTCCCACAGCCAGTGGATGATTTATGGGGGGGGGGATACCCATTCAAGTCGAGCAGTGGCGTGCCTAGAATTTTTTTTCGGGGGGGGGGGGGGTCAAAATTTTTACTAACACGTACCTATTTTAAGTATTTAAGTGTATTTATTTTACTAGATATTAATTCGCCATATATAAAATTTTTCGGTGGGGGGGTTGAACACCCACCCCCCTAGGCACGCCCCTGAAGTCGAGTACCAGATAACGTTTAACGAAAATCAACTATAGAAGTAAATATAATGGCAGATCAACATTAACTTGATACTGACAGTATATAAGTATAGAATATTACGGACTCTGTTTGAACTTATAATACCTACTTAATTTATTTTTTTTATGAATAAAATGCTTTTTGGCACTATTTCTGATTTCGTAGGTATTTAGTATTGAACATTTACAAATATCCAGGACACTAATAAAACCAACCACCCACAATGATAAACTATTTTCAAGCTGTTTAAATTTTCTAAATTGATATCATACATTTTATCAGTATACCTATTGGCTATTCCCATGCCAAAGTTCGGCATAGCGCTTAGGGGTAGGTATAATATAGCTGTGCAAATAATATAAATATACGGGCGTATTCAGTGATCCTAAATACATAGGTATCATGTACAGCTGTTTTTTTCTTACTGTACTATAACACGTGTTATAAAGATTAAAGGGTAATCGTTTAAGACTGTGTAGTTTGAATAGGTACCTATCTAATTGTGTGGGTATATTACGTCATTACGAACTACGATATAATTGGTAGGTACATATTTTTATAAAGGCTTGTTCTAGTTCTACTCTATAATGGTAGCTATTTTATAGTTTTATATATGACCTACCTATGGTGGGGTACCTTCTGATTTTATTTGTATTGTTTTTAAAACAGTGTTTTGCCTTGTCTTTGTGTCAGTGTATCAAAGGTATGTCGTATACTTGTGTTTGATTGTAATGATTTACAATTAACTTGGTTAATACTTAAAAGCGATCCAATACAAATATTCAAAATTCAGTTTCATAGAGATGACAGTTTAATAAACAAGTATATAATATAGTATTGTATTATTAATTATTATATTATATTATTATATTGTTTAGTATAATGATTTCTGTTATAAATATAGAAATCTGTTGTTGTTAATCAGCCTATTTTCGGAGAAAACCATAATATAACGGCTGTATGCCCCCGCCGTACGCCGCACTGCCTATGTATTATCGTTCGATCATTTCGCGGCGTTCACACACTCACACGATATATACGAATACGATACACACATACGTACAACAGTGTACACTGAACAGTTACTAGTTACTATTCTCTATTTCATTTTACCGTCTCTGTAAGTGTTATAGTGCAATACTTGTTAATGTGTATGAATATTGTTAAATTGTAAACTAAATTTATTGTGTCGTCGGTTTTTAAATTGTTTTACCAACCACCCAACTACGACTCACGTGTTGACGTACCACGTAAATCAAAAAAGTTCAGTTGTGCAAGTGCATTTTCGGTAAGTACCTACCTATCTACTTTTTTAATTATTATCGTTCTCATTATTGTTATTAATATTATAAATTGTAACTTCGTACTAAAACTCACTGTTTACATGAATCAGAATAATTATTATAAAAATATAAAAATAATAGGTTACCTATGCTATAATATAATATAAACAAATAGGTAGGTATTCAATTTTGTATAATATGCATATTGATTATGTTCATACTCGGTTCATTCAATGTAATACTGTAATAGCCAATAGGTTTGTATTAATTGTAATTAGTGTTTATCATAGGCGTGCGCAGTCATATGGTAGTTAAATCATTTTTTAAAATTAACATTTGTTACTCTTTATAATTTGACTTTATTAGAGCAAAAATTGGATTCGCAGGAGGGGCATATGCGCACGCCTATGTTTATATCAAAATAAAAAATATTTTTAAGAGTAAAGTATAATAGTTTTTAAATTACATCAACAATAATTAATGTGCAGTAGGTACTTGAAGACTAAAAAAAGTTGAGACCCCCAACCCCCTTTAATCGGTTTTAACTTTTGGTATACTTTTATATGTCGTCCAGTCCAATGGACATAGTTATACTTATATTATATACCTACCTAATTTTCTTTAAAAATATGTTTAAACTTTAAACTATTTGAATATTTGATAATGTTGTAAAATGAAACAATTAGGTACATATAATATATTATGCAAAGAATATTTTGAGATTAATGGTTAATTAATATTAGATTAACTTAAAATAGGGTTGATGAACAATGTAAAAATAAATGAAAATCTGAGCTAGCTACCTTAGCTTAAAGATACCCAAGTTTTGATTTTATTCAAATACCTATCCAAAAAAAAATATTAATATATTATACGTCTTAATCTTAAGACAACCAACAAGTATTTATAAATAAAAATATTTAACTATTGTACTTATTAGTTGTACCCAGGGTTGGGCAGTATTAAAGATAAAATTATAATGTACCTATCTTGTATAGTGATCCATTTTAAACTTTTACTCAGGACGGGTAAAACATTAACAAGTTAAAGTTAAGTTAATTGAAATTATAAACCTAATAAATTATTTTTTTTATGATCATTAACTTAATTATTTAGAGTTTTTTAATTAACTTGAGTTAATTTTAATTTTAAACAATTTAAGTTGATTTGAATTTTAATAGCTTATCGTTTTTATTTAATAAGATATTTTATCAATCATAAAACTTAGTACATCCAAGAGGATACCAAGCTTTTAATTTGGCTAAAATTTGTCGTTTAGATGACTGTAGGCCATTTTAGGGAGAGTAAATTTACCCTTCTTAAAGAAGTCTATTCTTCTGTTTTTCAACTGTAGAGTGTACCAAATCCCCTTCATTTTGTGTGAATCCTACTCTCAAAATGTGTGGGCAATAAAAGGAATATCTAGATAGTTAGAAATACATACAAAAACAAACTGATCATAAATTAATTTTTTTTGCTGACTTGAACAGTTAGCAGAATACAAAATTATATCTTACTTTACTTTTTCTTAACTTTTTTCTTTTTCAAACTTAGATAATTTAGTTTCATTTTTATGTTCCTCCAGATATAAAGCTCTGGTTGATCTTGTTTGGGTTCAACAAATCCTATAGGTATGTGTTATAATTTGTGTTAAACACATGCCCATACGTTGATATTTTGACTGGTGATATATTGTTTTCCCCACATTTTTAAATATATAATCTATGCATATTACATAAAATAATCTGGGGAATAATCGATGAATTTTGAGTTGTCATGTTGCACAGGTGCGATATAGATTATAGGTATTTCATTACTGTTTTATTTTAAACTGTAGGTATACCATAACTTAAATACGCTTTAATGAGTAATTATAAAACATTTAAATATAAAATTTAACTAAATAAGTACCTACTGCATTCTTCAAATAAATTATATATTATGTGTTCAAAAATCATAAATAGATTTAAAACTGGTACCTATTTTTTTATTTAAAGTATTCTGATGTTCATGTTATTTAGTTTGTGAACTACCAATTTCATAAAACCAATCAAAAATGAGTAGTGCATATTATCGATTGAAAAAACATCGAAAACTTCAAAGGTCTACTGAAATCGAGGCAGAGGTATCAACTAACATATTATCAACAACTGAAATACAAGATATTGAACGTGAAAATTCAAATTTTCCTTTGGAAGTTGCTATTGTTAGAAATGTGTTAAATGAATCTCAGCATATAAGACTGCCAACCATTATTAAAGATAATAATGATTTATCTAACCTAACAGATTCATCTCTAGAGTACTTAAGTAGATCACCAGATTACAATCCAATGGATTATAAATATTCTTCTTCTTCATCATCGTCTTCTCAAATTTCATCAAACTCGGACTGTAATGATGATTATAATATATCTTCTACAGTGCCAAGCCTTCGTGATAAATTACAAAACTTTGTTGTGCGATTCAGAAGCAACATGACAGTTGAGTTAATTGAAAATTTGCTTGAAATATTGCGTTCTGAAAATCATCATGATCTACCTAAATCAGCAACAGGCTTACTACAAACCAAGTCTAATGAAAACATTCAAGTAATGAAAAGTTTAAAAAACACAAATGGGTCGTATGTATATTTTGGTATTGAAGAAGGACTAAAAGGTATAATCTCTGAGGAGTATACTGAAAATACCATACAATTATTATTTAACATTGATGGCTTACCATTGTACAATAGTTCAAGTCAACAATTTTGGCCTAACTTGGGACTTATTGTGCATGATAAATATGACTCAAATCCATTTATTGTTGCAGTGTATAGTGGTGATTCTAAACCTAAAAATGTCAATGATTTTTTAAAAGACTTTGTCCAGGAAGTAAGCTTTTTAGTTAAAAATGGTTTAAATATTGGCCAAAAATTTTTTAAAATAGAAGTTATTGGATTTTCCTGCGATACACCTGCAAGAGCATTTATCAAGAAATGTAAAGGGCATGGGGGATTTTACTCATGTGAGCGTTGTGAAACAAGGGGCAAGACAATAAATAAAAAAAGAGTGTATCCCAGCATAAACTCAAGACTTCGAACAAAACGAGGTTTTATAAAACAACGTCAACGTGAGCACCATTTAGATGGAAGAGCTTTGCTGCTAGATATTCCAGACTTTAACCCAGTAAATTCTGTATTCTTGGACTCAATGCACTTACTTTATCTTGGAATAACAAAATGGATTTTACAGCAATTACTTGGTGCCAAAATGCGAGTTAATCGTAAATGTAAACTTCCTCAAAACAAAATAAAGCATTTCAATTCAATTTTAAACATATTTACAAGACATATATCCAAAGAATTCCAAAGGAAAAAATTGGATTTAGATTCATTTGCTCACTGGAAAGCCACACAGTTTAGATTTTTTTTAAACTACTGTGGGGCTCTGGTACTACGTAAAATTGTTAACAAAAAAATGTACCATCATTTTTTACTGTTGGTAGTTGCTTGTAGAATTTTAAATGATCCTGAATTATGCGTAGAGAATATAAATTATGCTAGGGACTTACTCAAAAAATTTTTTGAACTTCTACCTTCTTTTTATGGATCTGATTCACAAATTATGAACAGCCATAATTTGATTCATATAGCAGATGATGTAGAATACACTAATATGCCTCTATCTGCAATATCAGCATTTCCTTTTGAAAATTTTCTTGGAAAAATCAAACGAATGATTGGTGGTAGAAATAAGCCTTTAGCACAATTAGTTAGAAGAGTCTCTGAGCAAAAGGCATGTCCACAGATGATGATGAAAAATGCTATACACAAGAAAAAGTGCCTAATAGTTAACCCTGACGTTACTCATAAAAGCAAAAATTATTTAAAAAGCATAATTCTACGTGGGTTTGAGTTGAATACAACTAAACCCAACAATATTGTAAAATTGGATTCTGGTAAGGTTTTTAGCATTACAAGAATTCAAAGAAAACGAAATAGTATTTATTTACATGGATATGCGTACAAGACTGTCACTGACGCTTTTAAGTTCCCTTGCAAATCTACAAAAGTTGGAATTATGAAATTGGGTAGATTATCTAATAGAAAAAGAATTATTTCAATTGATAATATTTTTAAAAAATGTGTTCTCTTTGAAAATGGGAGTCATAGTTATGCAATGACATTACTTCATAACTCATAACAATCTTTTAATTTTTAAATAATAACAAACTAAGCTTACTGTAAATATACATATATACATTATAACATAACAATATGAACATTGCATTGTTACAGACATGGACTTTAAAAAAGAAACAACCCATGTTTTAATAAAATTTAATAAAATAAGAAAATTTGAAAAAACAACCATTGACTTAATACCTATATCATGGACTTATATTGAAGATGATAAAATGTACTGCAAATATCCTAATAAAAACGAATATAAGAAAATTGACCAAATGGTAAAAATGTCATCCATTTACAAGGTATCGTGGAAGAGCTTTGAAATTACACTAATTAAAGAAGCCCGTAAGTATTTCAACTGTATTAAATAGGTACCCAATAATGCACATAAATAAATACTAGCACAGAAAAAATGATTATATATTATAATATAAGCATATAGGTACAATATATTTTTATTTATTAAGGTTATACATTTCAGGGAATTATGATAAGGGTGTGAAGTATATGAAAAAATCATTTTCTGATACGGTCATACAGAGTAGTACCATTGAAGAAGAAAACAGTTCTGAAGGTGAAAGCGATCCAAAAAAACTAAGCGAAGACGAGCTTGGAATGTCTCTAAAAGACATCCCTTCTTTTAGTAACTCATATTCTACAAATGATATTCATAAAGTCAAAGGTAATTATTTCAATTTAATTATGTAAATAAAAATAAATATTTTACTATCAAAAAGTTAGGTTTAATATGTTAATGTTAATTATTACAGGTAATGATGCTTCAGTGTTTTCTGTGTCAACATCAGAATCATCTGTTGCCTCTGTAGTGTCCAAAAGACAGAAAAAAAAATTAGTGCATACAAAAAACTCTTCCTCTTTTAAAAGATTGAAAAAAACAATAAATGGTAATTTCTTTGATTAAATTTTTCTTTTCAAAATTTATTTGAAATTTTGTTTTATTATATTATTTCAGAAACTAGTCATTCACAGTCTGAAATGTCAACATCAGAATCATCTGAGGCCTCTGTAGTGGTGTCAAGTAAACCAAAAAAAATGTTAGTACACTCAAAAAACTCTTCTTCTTTTAAAACATCCAAAATTACAGCCAATGAAAAAAAAACAACAATAAATGGTAATTTCTTTGATTAAATTGTGTTTTTTGAAATGTATTTGAAATGTTTTATTATACTATTTCAGATGCAGATTATTTACAGACTAATGCATCAGCCTCCCAATCAGCTGGTAAATCTATTAGTAAGTATTTACAATAAAAATTAATATTATGCACATGCCTTTTAAAATACGAATTGAATCCAACAACTATAAAATTAATTAAATCACAATTTTCTAAACTTTTTAAATATTAAGTTTTTGCCCCCAAATTTTAGAAGTTTTTTTTAATACTCGCTCATTTAAAAACATTGTGTTACAGTTGAATATTCACATACTACACCAGAAATAAGAACAAAATATTGTTTGGCATGCGGTCGTTCAGGTATAAATAAATAATACATTACCATTTTAGTATTTTAAAACTATTTTTATACTTAATTTCATAAACTCACAATTCATAAATAATATAAAATTATAAATTTGTTTCATATACTATCAATTTAAGATGAGGATTTACCGGTGTCCAAATCTGACATAGAATCACTTAGACGGAGTATTGAATATCGCATTAAAGAAGAGGCAAAAATAACAAGAACATTATTAGCAACAACAAGTAGTTCTGCTGACCTAAATAAAATATTAAAAGATGCATTGATTGATTTGCCAAAAACGACATTGGTCAAATTTAAAGATTTTGATGATCAACTCAACAATGATTTTGATTTAATAAAAAATTTGGTGAGTATATTTTTACTTCTGAGTATAAAACAGTATTTACATTTATGTTATGAACACTTTTAGAAATGTTTCATGGTCATCAATATCAGAGGGATGGTAAAAATTTCTGAGAATTTGACTACAGTTATCCCTAAAATAATGACCAAGGACGTTCAGGTTATGTACAGTGCATTCGGTAGGGAGACCAATGGCGTAAAAAAGTTAAACTTTTCAGAGACAAACACATACAAGTATTTACTAGGTAAGTTAAGTTAGGTTTATAATAGTTGAGGTATCATCACTTAAGTTATAACTTTTCTAATGGTTATTCGTTTTCTTTTTGATAAACAACTCAATTTATGTTTCTAGAAGTGCTTGCCAACAAATATCCAGAAGTAAGAGAAAAGGAGTTTTCAAGTATACTTAGTCGTTGGTTTTCTGGAGCAAAAGACAGGGATGGAGGAAAAAAAGAAAGAATGGCCAATAAAAAACCATCTACAACTTAATATAGTATTATAGTATTATACCCAGTTAACTTTAATATATTATGTATTAATTTTATATTCATAATGCTAATTAACAATAAAAGAGTATTTTACAGTTACAAATAACTTTTCTAATAATGTGGGATACTGGGATGAGATTTAGGTTAGACAATCATCATGAGGCTATAAAGCAATGGTTTTCAAACTGGGTACCGCGAATATCCACTAATTGGACCGCAGTATTTCCATACATTACCGATTGCATTAAATTGTGATATAAGAAAATTCATTTTATTCATCTAATTCTAAAGTTTTATTTCAAAGGTCAGTGTGAAAATGTTTTGAAGTGTATGGTGTGCCGTGTATAATAAAAGTTTGAAAACTACTTCTATAAAGTATCAGTTGGAATAGTAAAAACTATTTACATTTACAAGTATTTTGCCAACTATATTTCACTATAGTCTGTTCTATAACAGCATTTACTAGGAGTACATTATAGGCAGTATAATGATCTTACCACAAAGGTGGGCATTAATTTATTAAAAAGGTAATTTTTTTAAATTTTAAATTTACTAGTTAGTTAATTTTCTAATCACTTAATAACTTAACTATTTAAATAATCCATGGTAACAACTTGGCTTTTTCCAGTTAATTTTAAAAACATGTATAGTTAACATCATAATATGTACCTATACGCTATAATTTAAGCTAATTAACTGAATTAATAATTAAATCACTAGAGCTAATGTGTAATAATATGGGATTGGGTAGGATGCAATTTGACAAAATATTTAGTTATTATACTACACTACTAAACTATGTGTGACCCTGGTGGTAATTAAAAATAAATGAATAAACTTTTTTTAACCTAGTTCAGTTAATATTTATTTTCATTTTAAACTTCTCATTTTAGAGTTAAATATTATATTTGGAAAATATTAAGGTATAGCTTAACTTTCTATATGTTAACTTAACTTAACTATAAATTTACCAAAGTAAATTATTTTCATAAACTTGCCCCCCTTTACTCAATGTAGAGAATACATCAGATAAATGTATATGTGTAGAATACCAATAGTAACCTACCAGATTTGTATCTGTAACCAGACCACATGATTAGGAGGAGGAAATCAAGTTTTGGGGGAAGACAATGCCGTACTATATGGGCCTGGTGGTTAGTACTGTACTATTAGTAATTGGCAGTGTTATAACAGTGCTAAATGTTATTATTATCTGTTCTTAGCCAGTACTTTGGCTGTATTGGTAAGGTGTAGCATTCCAGTTATATGACAGTACTGGCAGCCAGTAGAATGCCAGTATTACTATCAGTACTTGACCAGTGCTGGAATGCCAGTACTGGTTCCATCACTAACTTTCAGTACTTCACCAGTATTGACTGGTCGGTACTTAGTCAGTACTGGAATGTCAGTACTTGGCCAGTACCGGAATGTCAGTACTTGGTCAGTACGAATGCCAGTACTGGTAAAGCGTTATCATCCCAGACATATGACAGTGCTGGTGCCAACACTGGCTGCCAGTAGCGCTCCAGTAGTTGCCAGTACTGGCGCTGTATTGTGCCTGTTGTGAATTTCCGATTGGGTAATAGTGTGCGTAGATAGAATCGATTTCCGAATATCTGTGTACCTATATAACTATTTCCCAGGAAAAATCGATTGCTGCAGGGTATAACTACGCGCTACCTCATCTGCAGCACTACTGTTCTCAATAATAACAATCTTGGTTTGTTTGAAGATGTCAAAATGAAAACGTTTCGCCAGGCAATCAACACGCTCGTGTCCCCATCACGGTATTTTATTATTACTACGCAGGCCCATATTGAACAATATTACTATACATACCAGGCGCGTATCCAGAATTTTATTTCGGGAGGGGCTGAACAAAATTATCAACATAGTCACACAATAAACAAAAAGTGGGTAAGTGGATGTCGCTCTGCTGTACAGTAGGTAACAAGTGGGTCACTGTAATGGATGGTGTAAAATTTGAATTCAATGATATAATATCATTGTATAAGAAAAACGATTCTAAGCGAAAACGGTCAGTCAGCCTATGATATTACTAAGTATATTTGATGATATTATTGTGAATAAATTAATTTATGTATTTTCCTATTTATGTGGACCATTGTTTTAAATTTTTAATCCTTAACTATGAAAGTTGAACATTTTATAAATTTTTAATTACAAAATATTTATTATATTTTAAATTTGATAAATTTTGTCAAAATTCGAACTTTAAATGATTATAAGAAAAAATTGTGCCTATGTATTTTTAATATTTTTCAACTAATATTGTTACAATATATCAGGAGCCTTGCGTTAAATTTTCACGCTTTTTACCCAACAAAAAAAATTGTATTGATATTTATAGGAAAAAAACTAAGAAAAATGAAAACTGTCAATGTCCGTAAATAGCTCAAAAAGAGGCAAAATATTTTCAAATTTTTTTGGTGTATAAAAAATGAAAACATTCAGCAACATTTTAAGTTTTGTGATTTTTCCGTATTTTGTCAAGATTCGAACTTTAAATGCTTATAAAAAAACTATGACTAAGGATTTTTAATATTTTTCAACTGCTATTGTAACAATATAGCAGGAGCTTTGTATTAAATTTTCAAGCTTTTTTACCCAACAAATAAAGTTTTATTGACATTCATATTTTTTGGATTTTCTTGAAA